GGCCGTTGCAGTTGAATGTGGTTGAGGGGAGAGTCTACATCGCTTCGAATGAGTGGTGACGCTTTGGCCTTCCCGGCTCAATGTGGATTTTGGATGAGAATGCACAGAATGGCTCACAACCCGTTTCGGTCTCTGAAGTCAAAACTTATGGGACAAATTCGATCATATTCATACAACAATTCGACAGAACACTTAAGCTTGGAACCCTACTTGAAGTTGGGGCCACCATCACAGTCGCAGTCCAAGTATCTTTGGAAATACATCGCCAGGTTGTCGGGCTTAGGAGGCGAGTGTATCAAGCTCTCCAAGTGCGGACCAACACATGGGTAGTCGTAGCTGTAATAAGATCTCCAAGTATTCAGACCGGAAGATATCCAAGATGTATCCATATTCGAGGACTCGGATGGTTTACCGATATGGTTCTGCCAAAAGGATTGGCAATTGGGATGATAGTTGCAGTTGGCAACCTGAGGCAAATCTGTCGTCTTCTGATTTAGTTGCTGATGCCAGTGATGGGAGAGCATTGCATGCCCAAAAAGTAGGCGACTGAGTTGAGGAGATGTTAACTTGAACGCAGCAAAACCGGATTCTGGCGATGCAATTTTCGGTCCTGCGATTAACTTCTCGCGAAGATCCCAGTAAATGTTGCCCTCGAACTCCTTCTGCCCGCGGGTCTCAGCGACGGTTAAAGCCCGACTGTGCAATAGTTTTCCAGTTTTGATGCGCTCAGTCCAAGCGGACTCCACAAGGCCGAGTAGCTCTGGGGCAGAAGCTGTGCAGCGAAGAGCCAAATCCAAAGCGTGCTCGAGCTGGTCCTCAGAGCAGGTCGCAAGATGCGCAGAGATCGCATTCGGGGACAGACGGGCCATCATCCATGCCCAGCTCTCGTATTCAGGGAGAAGGTACTTGTGGGCGATTTCGAGGATACGGAGGTATTTGTCGACGTTAACGTTGTTGGGTTTGGTGGAGATGGTGTACATTTCAGTTGGGCTGATGACAGAGCGTTTAGTCAAGAGAATGAAGAACGAAGCATTGGCACACACAGGGCAAACATAACCCAGCAGAGAGCCCGAAAGTCCTCCACGCTGTCGTCGAGAGGTATGGGCTCCGGTTCAGCACTGGGATCTTTTGCGACTGCAAACATATCTGCAAACATCGAGGTGCCATTGCGACAGAAGTTGAAGCGCGGTAGCTGGACGACGCATATCGATGGCTGGATAGAGAGCTTCGACATAGCACTCACCTTAAATAAGACGCCGTCCACAAGGAAGACGCAGTCCCCGTTCTCGAAGTAGTAGTTTTCGTCTTTAACAATAGCAGGTAACGCTAAAGAATGCGTGTGAGTATCAACAAAACATGAGCTTGAGAGTGGTACTTGCCTGGTTCCGAGCTCTGAGTGAGTCCGGGTGTGTTTGGGACGGGAGTTTCTTCAGACGCCATTTGGACCGTCAATGGGAAGAGGCAAGAGCGGTGAATGTCTCTGCGCCTCGTGGTTTACACGAGTTCATGCATAAATAGCACCAGGTCAAGAGGGCATCGATAAGCTGGTGGGTCACCTTGCTTTAAGCAAGGTCCCCACCAGGTCACAATTCGCCAACATCATGATGAGTTGATGAGGCTGCAGCCAAACATATGCAAACACTACCCGAACGGACTGGGTCCAAAAACCCCAAATTCTCGATGAAACCTCGGTGAAAATATTTGTCATTTGGATGACTCATCATCAGATGTTGCGATCAAACAGGGAATAACTATGTAATCTACTGCGAGGGTTTAGAGTACAATGGAGAGTTGGCAGGGTTGTTTGTCGGCGCACTCAATACAGATTTGTAGACAACACAGCCACCATCATTTTGACCAGAAACCACAACCAGGACAACTCAGTTCCACCGCCTAATTGCGGAATTCCTCGTGATGTGATGGCAATGTCAAAGTTTTTGATTGATTTGATGATGTGACAATATGTTACTGCAATTGTTCTTATGTGTTTAGCTTGCATTTTGTTCTCAATAATACAATAATAGGTGGAAAAATCCGGAAAAAATTCAAGAATGCTTCTATATTATTATTCTACATTATAGAGCCATCTTCCCCCACAGAGATAATTTACATGACTGATTAATTACATGACAATCCTGTAAAAAATCAACTAATTGGACTTGCCAACATGATTCAGCTAGTGAATCATTAAGTTAGATCAAAACTGTGATATAAGCCAGTGATATTTAATGCTTCTCAATCTGTTGCAGCCTATAATGTGGAAGTATACAGTAGTAAATGAGTTGATTGATTAGCTACAGAACTTACATACTCTCTCCCTAATACAACAAGTGAGGCCAGCATCATATATTATTTATTATACTGTACAATATCTCAGAGTTATGTTAGAGATAGAGCTGTGCATAAGTGATTTCCTGACTTATATTTCCCCTTACTACTAATCATTATTGCACCTATACATGCCATATATAGGCTTTACAGACCTTGAGTCCTGTAACCATCTCTCTCTTCTCTTTGACCTCCAAATACATATATTTCCCTTATTCATCCCTGCCCACCTGTTTTAACAAGTTAAATAAAGAGTGAAATATATATCCTGTTTACTGCTATGGTAAACTGGCAAAGTCACATTGTCAAGTGGTATAAGTATATTCACTACAGCAGCTCAAAACTTTCTAAGACAAATGTTCCAATTACAACTCAACACGCACACCTACACCAACAAGGGACCACTATAACAGGCCCTTTCAGCTGGACCTTGACCCCGCTTGCTTAGCTTGTAGGCCCAATAATTCATCTGTTCTGTTCCAGGTGCTTGTTTCTTAGGAGAAGCCTTGGATGGCCCGACCCAAAGCCAGACACCTGTCAACAAAATATATAAAAGCAGTACTGTACTAATTTAATTCTAAACACTTTATTATATCCCATAGGGCTAAGCCCAACAATTTTTTTTTATTAGTTATATGAGTCTAGCAAAACTTTATCCTAGACAGAGCCCTCATAGGCAATTTTTCTACTGATAGTGGCAGTCAAGTTCCCTAGTGGGGAAGGTATAACAAACATATTATGCACTATGAGAGGATGATGAAATAATTAAAATAGTACACTATATAACAAAGGCATTATCTTACTTTTCTCTTTCCTTTTTGGGAGAGTTTTACTTAATTCTTTTGGGAAACCACAAGCACCAATACCAAGCTAGCAAAGGAGAGAGCTAAGTAAGCTTGGAATGGAGATAGGAGGAACAAGATCTAGAGCTAATGAAATCAGGCATGCAAAGGCAAGAGTGCAGAGAGAGAGTAGAAAATAGAATAGAAAGTCACTGGCCGCTGCAAAGGCAGGTGGATTCAGAATTGCAGACCAAATCCCATCTTTGCTTAAAAAACACTTCAAAACACTTGAAGGCACACAAGAGGTATTCAAACAGCTAGTCCAATGTCAGACAGGACATAGGTACTTAGGCAAGTTTTATAATTGCTTCATTCCAGATGAGCATTTGTTGCCCTTAAGCAGAAAACTACTGTACTATTTCGATTAATTGTCTGTGTTACGCGTGACACGTAGTCCCAGTGCGGATACCTGCGGCCGCCGTTACACATTCAAATCCGATTTGCCATCAAATCCAGGCCTAAAAAGGCAATTTTTCGTTCCGGCTGGTGCTGGACTTGCCTTTATGGTAATCCGGACACCTTGTCCAGTGGACAGTTCGCATTACATGTTACATGCTGCGGACAATTAATCGAAATAGTACAGTAATACAAACATAACACATATCCTACATGAATGCCCCAGATACAACAAGTACCAACACATGCTCCAAAAACAATCATATGACATTGCACTCCCTCAGATTCTGGGAACACAGGGTTTCTAGAGGAATCAGGAGCATATACAAAGATGAGACATAAACAGAGAGCCTGAGAGGTCACCCTCCCCAACTAGGAAGAAGAGCTGGAGCCAGACCTTCCAGACAACAAGGAAGTCATAGGCAATGATAATCATAGATAGGTTGGATCACAGCAGAGAGGAGAAAGACAGCAAGAAACCTCTGCAACTAGTGATCGTCACGGGTGGCGTGACCCGTGACGGGCCGTGAGGACGGGCTTGCGCGGGTACGGGTGCGGGCCTGATGCCCCAAACCCGCTGGCCCTCGTCCTGGCCCGCCGGGCCCGGCCAGCCCGATAGCCAGCCGGGGGTAGCCGGCTCCGGCGAAGCTCCGACGCCTCGAAACCATCAGCAACTGTAACCGACTTGGCTCGGATGGCCACGACGGCTGTTGCTGGGGGTCGAAACCCGCAACAGCACTAGCCGACATTGTTCAGGTGGCCTCGGCATGGCCTTGGCGTGGCTGCTGGAGCCGGTGGGCCACTGAAACGCGGGCCACCCGCGGCCCGTTAGCCAAAACGCGGGTACCCGCACCCGCCGAAGCGGGCCCGGGTCATCGGCGGGAACGGGTACGGGCCACCCCGGATTTACCCGCGGGTGGCCCGTGACGAACACTATTACCCCCCAAAACACAAAGGCTTTGCCAGGCAGATTGATATGTATAGCTGCTCTCACAAGCACTATGCCTTTGTAGCTGTAGTGTATTTGCCTGGGGAATAAAAATGTGATTAAAAAAACAAATCAAGTTATTAAAAATACATAATCATACCTTAAAGCAAGGTGTTTAAGATGGCCACTTGGCCAGCAGCTAGTCATTCAAGCTCATGGTGTAACGAAAGCCTGAGCAGCTCCGAGTCACGGTGGCTGTCACACATGATCGGCGACCACGTTGAATAAGTACTTACATACGGTTTAACGAGCCTGGGCTCCCGAGAGGAACCGAAAGTAGCTTGTTGTTTTCTCATCTTTAATCATCGATATCGGTTAATGCTCGTACTGTAATTGTCCGCAAGTTGTCCGACTCATTTGGTGATTGGCTAAGTGGCTTTGATGCATTGCCAACATATCTCGCCTCGTGTTTCCAGCGCCGCATTGCCCACAAACAACTTGCCTTCTTCTGCCAGCGCAAGTTACACGACCCCTTGTTCACTCGTGCCCAGTCCAGCCCCCAACAAGAGAGCTTAAGTATGGCGGGACTCGGACTTGAAGAACTTGAAGTTCCAGTTGGTATCGACGCGGAGCAGGAGCTTGGGGGTAGCGCGAGGGGTATGTCCACTTCTGAAACGACGACGAATCTGCTCCACCTAGCATTCACCAGGAGAGCCCAAGGCGCCGACGAAAGACGTGGTGTATTTCTTTGCGACGGGCGACTGTGTGTTTCTTGTTGAAAACGTGTTGTTCAAGGTGCGCTTCACCTTGCATCGTCATCAAAAGAAAATGACACCGTCGAGCAGATTCACAAAGAGCGGCTCACGAGAGAACCTGACCCCGACTGTTGTTTCCGTGGTCTGTTCAGCAGCGCTCGAGACCAAGGAATGAGCACCATGGGCGAAATCGATAGCGTTTATGAGGACGACGGTGGGGGACGATTCGAGATCATCCCGATTGATGACAAGCTCGTGGATTTCCGCGCCCTGTGTTGGGTGCTCTATGCGCTGTGAGTGCATCTCCTTTTCGTTTTGAGAGCCTTGAAGATGACAGAAGAGCGTTTGACAGCCCTGGCGACATCCAACAGCAAAACGAATCCGGAGCTGACATATCTCGGTTGGTGTCTGTGGCCAATATGGCGCACAAGTACATGATGCCGTCGTACGAAGCGTGGGCGTTGTACATGATCCATATCCACGGGCAGGCGCCTCACAATTATTTCGACACGTGCTCGCAGGAGATGCTTTACCGCGTGTTCGAGGCAGGGCTAGATGGAGGACGGGACGACATTTGTGTACTTGTGGAGGCTCGGTGGATCCCGCGCTTGAGGAAGGATGAGTTGCGCTTGAGAGATGCGCTTGATTTCGGAGAGAAACATGGCCGTCGCGGGTTCTTGGGAGAGGCGTATTACCAGCAGGCATTGAGGATGCCCTCGTTCGTTCCAATGATCGGGAAAGCCCAGTGGCTGGACTTTACGCAGTCAGATCTCACCGAGAGGCAGCTTGGCACCCTTCTGCGCGGATTCTGCTCGTTGTCGTTGCTGTGGCAAAACCTAGGCCACGCACAATCCCATGTATCCGGGTGTGGTTACTCTAGTCGGAACCCGCTATCTGACGCGCTTGCACTTCCCCGCCCTGGTGCTGACAGCAACAATCCTCTTCTGTTTCCCGACATGCGTCAGGCGCTTGGCAACGCTATTGAGGCCTGCAAAAGGGAGTATTGTCACTGCCGGAGAGACTACCTCACGGCTGTTCAAGACGAGTTTTGTCTCGAGCATTTCTTCCTCGGAGTGTAGAATAGCCGTATAGATTGTATGGTGCTAGCAGATCGGTAGCAGAAGAAAAATAGTACTGACGCGGGAGAAGATCTTCGCCTGTGACACGCTTCCTTGAAGTTACTTTTCCCCACCATGCAGGATTTCACCTTCACCGTGGGCAAGCTCGGTGTGTGCCCACCACCCTCTGCAAACACCAAACTGACGCGCCACAAGATGCGGGCATGGCGGTCAGCCTCTTCGTGGCCACCTGTCCCGCTGACTGATAAAAGTACCCAGATTCTGCTCGGCGAGCGCGCCCATCTTATCGAGTTCCCCTCTGTCCTTCTCCCGCCAGGTAGCCCTTCAGCAACGGCGTTATGCTCCCTGACGAACCACTTCAGGCGCGACCACCGGCTCCATTGTCAACATATCCGTCCACCAAAACATTGCCGAGGAAAAACGACGCGACACCGAGTTCTGGGACCTGCAGGACCAGATTCTGGGCGAGTTCGGGATGCGGTCACCAGAGGCGCCGCAGCTGCAGGTGAGTTGTGTGGCCCGTCTTGTCGGGAAGAATGCTCACCGCGCGATACATAGCTAAGACACACGACACAAACGTCCGTCACCCTCGAATGGCCTACCCTCCAGCTTGCGACCGCCAAAATACGCTCGCTGGTCATCTACCGCAACGGCGAGCGTCTCGCGCCCATCCCCTACCCCCTCACCAACACGTCCACAAAGCTGTCCTCGCTCGAGGTTAACACGGAGTACACCTTCCAGCTTATACTGCGCACGACCGCGGGCACCTTCCCCAGCAATGTCCTCCGCGTGCGGACCCACACGATGACGGACACCTCGGGCATCTCGGTCTGCTTTGGCACCATGCAGGACACGGAGCTGCTCGAGCGCGCCAAGGCGGCGCTGCGGGAGATGAAGGCGAAGTGGACAGACAAGATCGCGATTGACACGACCCATTTCGTGTGCACGACCCCGAACTCTAAAACGAACTCGCCCATTGCGCCGGCTGCGGAGTATCAACGCGCGGAACAACTTAGCATTCCGATTGTCCAGCCACATTGGATTTTCGCGTGTCTTACAGAGAAAAAGTGAGTGCTCATTCTCTCCAGTTCTTCTTCTCGTCCTATTTCTGTTTCCTTTTCTGTGCAGTCTCTTCAGTGGAGACTCTTCTCCATTCTATTTCCTTCTCTGTGTTCACTTGGCTTATAACTTGCAGACTTGTGCCTGTTGCGCAATTTGGACTGGGGGCCATCCTTCCGCCACCAGCGCGGCAACCAGCCCCACCACCACCGCCACCCGAATCTGACTCTGAGGGATCAGAGGGCTCTGGGTCGGACTCGGAGGAGGATGTTGGGGCCGCGGTCCCGAGTAGCGTGCACGAGAAGCGGATGAGCCGGCCTGGGACGATGAACCGCGACTTCAAGTTCCCGACGCCGGTGTCGTCGCCCACAGTGGAGAATACGCACGTGCCGGCGGTAAGGGTGGTGACGCCGAGTAACATTGAGGTGCCCGCGCCGCCGCCGATGGAGAAGGAGGGGTCGTTGACGCGGCCGAGCCCGCCGCGGAGCGCCAGTGCGAGGAGCGATGATGGGGATGAGTTGGGCGATACGGAGGAGATTTCGTTGAACTGAGTGACGCCTACTTTTTACAAAGGTGTGCGTATTGTTGGGATAACTCCATCGATTTATATTATACTAAGTTATTGTGGTGGTCATTGTGCTGTTGCCAAATCATAATGCCGTGTTGGACCTGCGCCTCGTGTGGAAGGGCAGGCAGGCATTGACATAAACTCCTGGCCTCTTTCTCTCACTCACAACCGCCTCCTCAACGCTCTCATTTTGTGACTATTGAGATTCACCTAAATGGATCCAGAGCAACCGTCTGACACCACCACTGGCATGAGCCCAATCTCGTCACCTGTACCCTCGAGCGTCATTGAATCGTTGACAAGTTCATAGGCTTTCCTTTGCAAGAGGATAACTGACCTAACCGTAGAAAATGACGAGCCCGCACCAGTGCAGGATGCGAAGTACTTCTTTGAGGATGGGGACTGTGTATTTCTAGCGAGCGGCGTGCTGTTCAAGGTGCGTGTATTGCGCTAATCGATGCCACCGGTTGTCTGACTGCGACCCGGTAGCTGCACAAGTTCAATCTCTGCCGCGATCGCAACTCGATGTTCGCCAACATGTTCACGGACGCCGGCGGTGTTGCTGCGGCGCAGACGGAGCAAGAGGTGATCCGGCTCGACGATGCTGCTGAGGATTTTCGCGCGCTGTGCTGGGCGATCTATGCGACGTGAGTGGTCTGCCAGTGTTTTTGTCCTGGCCTATGCCGAATGACTATCTTTTTAAAATCATAATTATGTAGGGCAGATGAGATATTCGACATTGCCGTAGAGACGACTCGGACTCAGAACTTTGGATTCATGTGGCCCGGGTTGTCCTCCAAGTCAGAGACAGTCAAGAAGTACCTGCGCGTCCTCGACATGGCACACAAATACCTACTGCCTAGTTACGAGCGCATGGCGTGGCGCATGGCATCCCTCGTAGAGGGGAATACATCAAAACCTGTGCGGAAGGCGAGCTGGAATACATGATGGGTCTCGCCGATCGCTGCTCAACGTCCGCGCCGAGTTTACTCCAGATGCTCGAGGTAGGCTGGTTCGAGCGCATCCATCAAGGCGCGGTGACATACAATCATGCCCTCACCGTCGCGGAGTTTTACGACAGGCGCGAGTTCCAAGGAAAAATCTACCTCGAGCTCCGGGAGAAGCTGCGATCCGGCCCGCCTATTGCCACGCTACACGGCCTATCGAAGCTCGATCTCACCCACCAGCGGCGCGATCGGCTGGTCCTCGGGATGGCCCTGCTCTCGAATATATTCAACCATGCAACATCCTCTGAACATATCCTCCCGATTGAAGCATGCGCCAACCATCAACAGTGCCAAGCTCACTGGAATCGCTACTGTCGCTCCAACGACAATGACGAGCCTTTGAAAAGATTGAACCGCGTCAAAGATGCCTTGCAAGGGTCATCCCCCCTGTGTCTCGTCCCTCATCTCACGTCAATCGGCATCACAGCACACACCCAGGTGGCCGACTTTTTCCTCGGTCCACCTCCTGTTGAATTATAATCTAGTATGAAGGGCAAGAAAGGGAAAAGGGGATTGAAGGGCCACAATCTAAAATGTAAATTTGATGTAAATCATAAGAGACACTTGAATGTTTACGTTTAAACATATTACTTAGATTTGATCGAGCAACTTGAAGTGGTTAAGTAAGAACATTCAAGCTTGGTCGTCATTGTACAATGAGCCTGAAAAAATGGTATTTGTGACAAAAGCTATAGACACAATCTGTATCAAGTTAAGTATGTATATCACTCCCTCAGATTGAACATTTTTCAAGACTAATATTAGTTGACTATTTATCTTATAGCTACAGTCCGAGTCTGTGGGAAATTAGGGCACTACATATATATGTCAAAATAAATGAGATCAGCACCAAAATGACTTAAGTTGTCTGAAATAATAAGTGATCAATATGTAAACTTAAACAAGCTGATCAGTGATTATTGACAAACAGTAGTGATGAAAAGGGGTGTAAGGGCAACCCCGGAGGCCTGAGATCAAGGTCCTAGCAGGGGAGGATCCAAAGAGTGAATAGAAGTAAGCAAATACAAGTGAGGCTGACCTAGCAGGGGAGGATCCAAAGAGAAGAAACTCTAAGGGTCCGCCCTGCTAGGTAGCGGAACTATATACTGCGCCTTGACGCCAAGGTTGATCGTTGCTCCGTGCAGTATGCCTGCGCCATGTCGCAGGCCAGGTCCCAGGGGGATCGCCAGGCGGGGGCGGCGATCATGCGCCTGACGGAGGCGGTGATGCGATCACCGGAGTCGGAGCCGGAGTCGGACCGGAATCGGAATCGTCTCCGAGGGGCCGAAAGGGAGGTTCCCCTGACATCACCCCCCCCTTTGAATGCGGCGTCCCGACGCATAGACCGGAATGGAATCGAGTCGAAGGTTGCAGAGGCGATGTGCCGTGGTTTGCCAGGGTACTTACGATAGAACTCCGCGATTTTCTCCGGGCGAAGAGCGCTGGTCGAAGCGGACCCACTGGTCATGCGACGCGTCGTAGCCTTTCCATCTGACGAAGTAATTCAGCCGTTTATACCTCACCCTTGCGTCCAGGATTTCCTCTACTTCCCACTCCGGGACTCCGTCCTCGAGGTCCGGAGGGGGCTGGTCGTAGCCGGGGCGTCCGTCGAAGGGGTCGTCTTGGGCGAGCTCGAGCTTGACGACGGGGAAGACCGGGTGGAGCTTCGAGTAGCGCGGAGGGAGGTCGAGCTTGTAGGCACCTTTGCTGATCTCCGCGACTATCTTGAATGGTCCGAGGCGGCGGTGGGAGAACTTCTCCGAGGGGCGAGTCGTCCTGATGTCAGAGGCATCCAGCCAAACACGGTCGCCAACCTTAAACTCCGGAGACGGAGTGCGTCTCCGGTCGTAGTAGCGCTTGTACTCCTCTTTGGCCTTAGTGAGCGGCCTTGGCTTCGGCAACACCAGTGGCAATCCGGTTGCGGAACTCGTTCACGGACTCCATAGCGGAACGGACTCCGGGTTCGAAGCCCATGCGCGGGAGTCGTCCCGTGTCCGTCATGAAGGGGACTTGTTGCGTGGAGGAGTGAACGTGGTTGTTGTAGGCGAACTCCGCGGCCGGAATCAGCTCATCCCAGTCGTCCTGCTGATAGTTGGTAAAGATCCGCAGGTACTGCTCCAGTTCCTGGTTGACGCACTCTGTTTGACCGTCTGTCTGCGGGTGGTACGCGGTGGACGTGGCAGGCTTGATGCCGATTAGACGCCAGAGTTCTCGGGTGAAGTCCGCGATGAACTGCGAGCCGCGGTCGGAGACGTACTTCTCCGGAGTCCCGTGATGGCGCCAGACATTCCGGTAGTAGAGGCGAGCCGCCCCTACTGCGTCGACCGTGGTGTGACACTCCGAGAAGTGGGCACGCTTCCCAAGGGTGTCGACGATGACCATGATCGCGTCGTACCCATGGGCCTCCGGAAGCTCGACGATGAAGTCGACGGAGACGGTATGCCAACGCTCTGGGGGCGTTTCCGTCGGGTGCAGCTCTCCATGGGGCAGTCTCCGGAGTGCTTTGGTGCGACAGCACAAGTCACAGGTCGCGACGTACCGGCCAATATGGCGAGACATTTGAGGCCACCAGTAGTTCCGGGAGACCAACTCCAAGGTCTTGAAGCGACCCGCGTGTCCGGCAACTCGAGTGTCGTGGCAGAGCTCGATGATGCGTCTCCGGAGGTCCTTATCCTTAGGTACGACAATCTTCCCACGAAAGTGAAGAAGACCACCGGAGACAGCCCACTCGTCGGAGCGCGAGGAGCGGGGGCCTCGAGCTTGACCTTGGACCTTTAGGAGTTGCCGGGCCGCTAGTGCGACGGGCTCCTCCAGGTCAGGCTCACCGGAGAGGGCATCGCGGATGTCGCGAAGGAGTTCAGAACCAGGGCCGGAAATGGAAACGCCCGAGAGCGCGGACATGGAAGAGTTCGGGCCGCAGAAGGACGACGCCGGAGTTGTCGGAATCGATTCCGTGGTCTGGTCTCCGAGAGAGGGCGTCAGGTCGGCCCATGTCACGGCCGGGCTTGTGGTGCAGCGTGAAGTCGAACCGGGAGAGGTAGAGGGACCAGCGGGCCTGTCTCCGGTTGAGGTGCTGCGTCTTCCTGAAGTACTCCAGATTCTTATGGTCAGTCCAAATCTCGACGGGATGCGCGGCGCCCTCGAGGAAGTGTCTATACTCCTCGAGTGCGCGGATGATCGCGAGCATCTCCTTGTCGTGGATTTCGTAGTTGCGCTGGACATCATTTAAGCTTTTGGAATAGAATGCTACAGGGTGCCACTTCCCGTCCGGGGCGGATTGTGAAAGAACCGCCCCGTCGCATAATCAGAGCTGTCCGCCTCAAGTCGGAAAGGCTGTGCGTCGTCCGGAATCGCCAGGACCGGTTCCGAGGTGACTGCGTCCTTGATCGCTTGGAACGCGGAGGCCTCCGCGTCGCCCCCAAGTCCACTGCTGGTCCTTCTTGGTGAGCACGAAGAGAGGGGCGCGAGGGTCGAGAAGTCCCGAATGAACCTGCGGTAGAAATTAGCGAACCCAAGGAACTGCTGAATGTCCTTCTTGTTTTCCGGAGTCGGCCAAGCGGAGACGCCTGCGACTTTGACGGGGTCCATTTCGACGTGGTTGTGGGAGATGATGACTCCGAGGTACTCGATTGACGATTTTTCAAAGTCGCACTTCTCCGCTCGGAGGTACAACTTGTGCTCTCGGAGTCGCCGCAAGACCTCCTGAACGATCTGCCGGTGTTTCCGGAGGTCGGAATGGGCGATCAGGATGTCGTCAAGGTAGATCATGACGTCTCCGGAGAGGATGAGGTCCTGGAAAATGTCATTCATCATCGTTTGGAACGTCGCGGGAGAGTTTGTCAGGCCGAAATACATCACCAAGGGCTCGAACAGGCCTCGGTTAGTCCGGAAAGCCGCTTTCCACTCGTCACCTTCCTTGATCCGGACGTTGTTGAAGCCCCAACGGACGTCGAGTTTGGTGAAGTAACGAGCGCCTTTGAGCCGGTTGATGAGGTCGTTGATCAGCGGAAGGGGTACCGGTTTTTGACAGTCATCGCATTGAGAGCACGGTAGTCCTGGACGAAGCGGAGTCCGCCGTCCTTCTTCTTGACGAAGAAGACCGGAGACGCCATCGGAGACTTGGAGGGGCGAATCCGGCCCGTCGAAAGCCCTTCCTCGATGAACGCGTCGAGCTCGCGTTGCTCGAGGGGCGAGATGGGGTACACCTTGCAGTTGGTGGGCTTAGCGTCGGGGACGAGTTCAATGGCGTGGTCCCAGGCTCTCCGCTCCGGTAGCGTGTCGAAGGACTCCTTGTTGAAGACGTCCTGAAACTCCTTAGCCCAGTCCGGGATCTCGGAGGGCGGAGGGGCGGAGTTCCTGGTGAAGGCTTCGGCCAGGCGCTGTGAGACAGTACTGCCAGCGCGTATCTCCTCCGAGGGGCGGAACGAGGTGTAGAAGATGCGGTCACCATCTTCAAGCTGACCATCGTCTTCATCATCGTCGGAGTCCGGCATCAGATCAGGCAGGGCGGAGTCGTCACCGGAGACGGAATCGTCTCCGTCGTCAGGCCCAGAGAGGTCCATGGTGCAGACCGAGGGGAACGGGCCGGAGCGGAGTCGCTTCTGGAGCAGCCGGAGTCGCCGTAGCTCAGTCCGTTCAACGCGTTCTTCCTCGCGGCAAGTGGAGCAACCGTGGGGGCACCGTGTCATCTTGACCTCCTTGGTTTCCCAATTGATTTCCGGGTTATGCTTCCGCAGCCAGGAGTACCCCAGAATAAGGTCTTGTTTACCAAGATGAGTGACGGCGAGTTGAACACGCTCGGAATGGCCTTTGTAGCATAAGACCAAGTCCGCGATCTGGTTGATGGAGCCGGCGTCGTTCGGAGTGCCATCAACGTTAAAGACCGGAATCGGTTGCGCCAGGGTGCGGACCGGAATGCCATTCCGAGCGACATAGTTCGTGTCGATAAAGTCGGAGGTGGCACCACAGTCAACCAGGCCAGAGAGCGAGAGCTTAAGCGCGCTGGTAGTGGACTCTAGCTCCAACGGGAGGTGGAGGGAGTTCACTCCAGGGGAAGCAGCGACAGTGTACTGCTTGGGCAGTTTCTTTTCCCAGGCAGTGAGGCGGCGAAGGATGATGACCGGAGTCGCGGGCGAAGTCGGAGACGGAGTCGAAACGGGGGCGGGGGAGGGTATGTCTTTTGTTTCAGGCTCGTTGTAGGGCAAAGGAATTGATTCGTCATACAAACAAGCGAAACGATTTACGGACGCGAACGAGGGCACACCAGTCACTCGTCGCGGGGGACAAAATCCTCTCCGGCCATCGACTCCGCGACTGTTTCCGGCAGCGCAGCTGTGTCCGAGTAGCGGGCGATCAACTCCGCTAACATCTCGTCACCGAGTTGTTGGATCACCTCGTCGAGGATGTCCATTGAGCGGACGTCCGCGGGGAGGGGGCAATCCAGTACATATAGCTGCATCTATGCAAAAGATGTGGGTACC